TGCTTTGTTCGATCTTCGATTTCCTCTTCTCAAACCCTCGTATCAACAAAAAATTCTCCAAGGCCGCAGTCTGCAGACTGCATGCGCAGGTGCTGCTGTTAGTGGTGAGGATCATTATGACGGCAGCTGTGAGAGCAACAAGGATGATAAGAACAACAGTGAGGATGACCATGATGCTGATACTGCTGGCTATGATGATGATGATGATGGCGAGGATGATGATGATGATGATGACGATGAGGATGGTGATGGTGACGGTGGTGACGGTGGTTATGATGATGGTGGTGGTGGTGGAGGTGGTGGTCGTGGTGGTTATGATTGCGTTGACATGCCGGGAATTGAAATCTAGGGTTCGAAGAAGTGTAGATTTCAATTTTCGTGCCTTAAGGTCGGAAGGGTTTAGAGCTCGGAGGGCCTGACGGGCCTAGCAAGCTGAAGACTTTAGGCATTTAAAACTTTCACTCCAAAGCCCAACGCACCCCAAAACACGAAAAATAACAACACAAGACTTCAAACTCGTTGAGGGCCCTCAACTCCGAAATCTCTTCGACTTAATTATCTGCTTCCCAACATCCCCAAGAACAGGCCATCGAAACCAGAGAGAGCCCGCTCCTCCATGGCTGCGCGTAACAACGGCGTGCTACCGGCGGTGTCAGCCTTGTCCTGCAAAGCGCAAAATACTCAAGAAAAGTCGAACTGAGCAGTATCCAGCACGGAGGCTGTAGTGTTTGGGTATATTGCGCAGGGACAGGAATGCAACGATACTGTCTTATAGTCTCTGTGTGGGTGTACTATGATTCCGTCATCAGCACCATACTGTTCACGATCCTGCAAGGAAGCAAAAGGGAATCTGTCGGCCCCTAAGATTGTTCGGTTTGACGGCTTCTTCCCTTGCTTCACCTGAAAGCCCTATAAACCTTTCTGCGAGAGTCTGTCGGTCCGGATCTGCAGAAGCGTGCAGGAGAATCGAGGCAGCCTGTCGGGCGAAGACAGAAGGCATAATCTGCGGCATGATGAGCGGGCTTGGATGTGATAAAGGCTTTCTAAAACGTTTTGGATCAGGCTTGAAAGGATCTTTCAGAGTTTTATGCAGTTTACATGGCAAAGGAATGTAGCAAAACTTGCCGTCTGCATGACTTGTAATTCCTATTGGTTAGGCATTATAATAAGAACCTAACCATAACAGCGGATAGCCAAATAAGGAACTACGGTGGCGAGGGTAGGTCGGGCTTAGAGCGTGCAAAGTGTTGATGCCGGTTTAGGGTTCAGGGTTTAGGGTCACAGCCCAGCAGGTTCAGTTGCGGGGCTGGTTTTGTGACAGTTGTAGTTTCAGAGTTTCGAGTTTTCATGCATTGGAGGAAAAACATTTATCGGTAAGATGTTTCGTATGTGATGATGGTTGTAGTTTCAGAGTTTCGAGTTTTCATGCATTGGAGGAAAAACATTTATCGGTAAGATGTTTCGTATGTGATGATGACCATGAGGATGAGTAAGACAAGGCAGAACTTATGCTGCTGCGCTGTGCTGTCCCCAGTCTTGCTGCTGCTGCTGCGGTTGCTACTACGGGTGGCGTGTGTTCCAAAACACGGGGATAATCAGAGGACCAAGGATGCATAGAGCCAAGTCAGCAGCTTCGAGATCTTGCAAGCAAGCAGACATTAGTTGGGAGTTCTGTCCCAACAAAACTGCAGAGTGGCAGTGCCAAGTTGTGTTGGCAGACCTGCTTGCTCACAGACTGGGCTTAAGATTTAGAGCTCCTGCCGAAGTGCTTTTTGCAGTTTCGGGTGAAGTTTAGCTTGTGTGGTCCAGATGTATTTAATTGTGAAACAGAACGTTATTGAGGCCCGCCCCCACCCCAGCCCCGTACCTCCCAACCCCCCACCCGCAGGAGCAAGTCGCTGACAACGGCAAAAAGCAAACTGCGCAAGGCGCAAGAGAGCAAGAACCATGGCTTCACGATGTTGGGAATGTTCCACGCACGGCACGCTTTGTGAGCTTACGTCGAAGATGCAACAAAAAACCTACGACCACAACTGACATACGGCCTGGTGCAACATAAGCAAAGAAAGCCGGGGAAATCAGACGGAATCGTCGGCTACACGCAAAGCAGAACAAATGTGGATTTCCCTGGGTCAGAGTACTGCGAAGACGGGCCTGCGTCGGGGAATTGATCTTAGCATTTTCAGGCTGCCTGGAATATGGCTTCTACTATGAATCCAAAGAGGCCTTTGGTTGGACTTATCAAGAATGTTCCATCACTGTGGATTGGTCAAGGAGCCAGCCGCATGGAGGAGGTGGCTGGGTTCATCCAGTCGAGGGTTTTGGGGTTTAGGGCTCTTGATTGCTTTCAGCCTAAACCCTAACCCTAAACTTCCCTAAACCCTATCCGTGGATTCGTATAAGACGGTAGCGAGCAACTTCCCAGCGCCTCCTCATAGCCACCCCAGGTCGCCAGAAGCAAAGCCGTGCATCCACGATGATCGACCTGCATTTTGCAGGGCTCTAGGCTTCGAGGATGCAGGGTTATAACACCTTTTATGGCTTATAGGGCTTACTGCGCTGTGTAAAAGGCTATACTATAGGGTCATAGGTTATAGCTGCAAGGTTTAGGGTTTGGGCGAGGGTTGGAGACGCCTTTCTGATCAATTCTGGTTGATGCATACGCCTGAAAATCACCGGAACAGAAAGCTCCGTATCAGGAGATGACGGCATTGGGCTAATAAAGCCAGCAGCTTTCAAGTTTTAAGGTCGATGACTTGAAGCCGCGATATTGAAGGACACTTGATACGCTTGATGATATAAATCTTGCATTACCCATAATAAGGAATTTACCATAATTTCCACAGTTTAGGGTCCTTAAGGTGACGCAGGATTTATATCATCAACAGTAGGATGGCTTGGGTTCGTCCATACCAACCTAGAGGCTCCATATACACTACCATTATGGAATTAGGCTCCCCAAAACCATAATAAGGATGGTCTTTTGGGGCCCAATTCCATAATGGTAGTCTATATGGAGCCTCTGGGGTACAGCTCGTCAAACTCGAAACTGACCGTCTTCTGCTGGGGCATGCATTCCGCGCTGAGGGTTCCGGGCTCTTCGGTTTTACAGCTTACCTGGGCCCCAAAAATATGTAAGATAATAGCCCCTTTGTAGGCTTTGGGCCATTAGTTTACCTACTTTTTTGGGGGGTTTAGGTCGAGTTTAGGGAGCCGGGAGTATGGTCAAATCTGGATTTTTCGCTCTGGGGCCTTGTTCAGTTCTGCGGAATGCTCGAGAAGGAGCTGCAGAAGCTCCTTCTTGCCGCGCGCCGCGGCCACATGGAGCCTGATGAAAAACACCCCGGAGAATTCAGCTGAGAGCATGCAGCTTCAGGCCCAAAGAAGGAGCAGGGCTGCAAAGGGTGTCTCAGAGTGCCGATGAAGCTTGGCATCTAGCGTTGATGGACAAGGAGTTGAGGTTTAGGGTTTAGGGTTTAGGGGTTCAGGGAATTACCCTAAGGGTCCATGTACCCAGACAGAATATCATATAGTTTGGGCCTAAAGCAGGATGTCTTCACCAAGACTGTTTGGGTACATTGGACTAAATGGATCCGGCTATCTTTCCTTTCACAATCGAAGCCGGGACCGAGACGAGAAGCGGGGTTAGGCCGTACTTGTTCTCACGATTGGGGTCTGCCCCAGCTGCAAGCAGTACCTTGGGATGCAAAGTTTTAGGCTTAGGGCTTCAGAGCTTGCGGCCTAAAGGTTGATAGATGTATCTTTCCGGTCCCTGGACTCTCATCGCAAGCTGCTGGCATGTCTCCTGCTTGGCTAGAGCATTCCTTAGCTTGGCCCCAAGCCGCGCCAGACAACTGAGTGATTCTCAGTTCTTTCCAGAGGCATGCAGCGGTTTCACTAAAGCCTAAACCGTAAACCCTCAACCCTAAACCGCACGAGCCAACCGCAACCGCCATCAACGTCGATCCTTGGCAGTTTCCCAACAAATAGTTAGGACGAGGGGTCCCCCCTAGACCCTCTCAATAAGGTCCCTTTTTAAGAGAGCCATAAGTAGGGATAAGACGGGTCCCCTTTAAGGGGTCTCCCTAAGAATACCTAGGAGCAAACTCTGTCTTGCAAACTCTGAGACCTCTCAATCCTAAGCTAAGCCCCTACCTCTAGGCTCCATTGTAATTCCTTCTTTTGATGTATATTTTTAGGATCCCATAAACCAATCCCAAAAAGGAACGACTAGAGCCCCTAGGACCCTATATACTAAGTACCTGGAGGGTTAGGGAAAGCCAGAATTACTCCGAAAACATTTACAAAGGCTCTCCGCCTATCCAAACCCTGGGGCTCCAAATAGCCCAAAGTAGGTCCTATTTATAGACTTTAGGCCCCAAAGTAGGTACCATTGGCATACTTGGAGCCCTTGGGAAACCCTGAACTCAAGCCGTCTCAAGCGGCGGCACAACCCTGAGGTCCCCGGGCTTTCTTACCCTTAGCATCGAAGGACTCATATTTGAAGGCTTTTGGGCCCAAAGACCCTATTATATAGTGCTTTTGGGCTATTTTGATGCGAAGGGTTAGAGTTCTCACACCCTCATCTTCAAATGGCAGGTAATGTAGGAACCTAATTAAGAAACCCTGGGTCCTGATTAGGGTTCTTTATCTTCGTTGCTCAGTTCCTGTTTGTAAGCGAAAGAAAGTGTACACGTTCAGTATCCCAAAAAGTGTAAACTGTACTCATTCAGCTATTAAGTTATGTGAAGCCTACTAGTTTGGGGCTTCTATTGCCAGGGTCCCTTGACCAGGTTCCTGCTTTAACGACTGTAAACCTGCAAGGCGCAGAAGGAAGGTAGATACCTAAACCATCTCCTCGAATTCCGAGACCCTACCCCCTAGATCCTGAACCCTAAACCCTGAATCCTGAACCCTAAACCGGCTAAGGCTTGAAAGGCTTTACGGGATCAGCCGAAGGGCTTCAGGTTCAGAGCGAAACAGGGCTTGCGCCAAGGCGCGTGAGTTGCCCGACGTAGATCCAGGCAGGCAGAGTTGAGCAAAGGCGTGGAGGCGTCGAAGTCAGGCAAGTTTACCTGGATTTTCTCTGGGCCGAACCCCAAAGGTCCATGTACCCTAATAGTAGATATTTTGGGCCCAAAGTACCTAGATGGGGACTACGTTAAGGCCAAATTCTATACTAGATGGGCACATGGACCCTTAGGGGAAATGTGGGGCAAAGTCCTAACCCTGCTAAAACTCACGGTCTTTCTAGTCTTAGGAGCTCCTCGGGCGTGATCCTTGTTACCCTATAGCCACCCATAGGCCCCTAAGTAGTTCCTTTTTATGGTTTATATTATATGGTTTATGTTTATATTTAGAATCCTATAAGGTAATCCCAAAAAGGAACTGCTTAGGGGCCTATGGGTTTAGCCATGTGCACAATTGAGAGAAAGAAGAATAAGACTCAAGACTGTCTGGTTAACGGGGTTAGGGTTTAGGGCTACCCAAAAACTGTGAGCCCCCCCAAGAAACACTTCTGAATCCGAAGAAGTTGTCAGGGTGTAGATTTTGATCTTGACTGTAAACCCTAAACCGCCCAACTCCTCCTAGAAGCAGGTAAACACGCCACTAGCCTGTTGCAGACCTTTACCTTTCATGTGCAGCATCCCGAAAAACTCAACACCTGACACTATGCGACTAAGAGTCCATGTCAAGCTATGTACTCCCCATAAGCATTAAAAAACCTTAAACCCAATGGACCTCAGCCCCAATCACTATAGACCTTAAACCCTCACTCCAACGAGGGGCGTCTGCCCCTCCTTGGATGAGAATCTCCACCACCTCCGGCCGACAGAGCGTGGCGCCGCGATTCAGCGCGGTCGACCTTAACACAAAAGGCAACAAGAGATTGCAACACCTCAGTTGCATGAGAGAGTGGCCTTACATCATAATCATATCACGTCCCACTAAAATTTCGGATATCTGTCTGGCACTTTAAGGAATTTGGGAGGTTTCGGAGTCTCTTGAATCACCATTCCAGGTTTGACGGGGCTCTCGCCCCCAAACTGGACACGATTTGCAACCCGAACAGCACCCTTGATCTCAGCTCTCACCTGAGTCCTTAGGTCGGCTCTTGGCTATCGGCAGTTAATGCCCAAAGGGTCCTAAGTACCAATGTAGTTTAATGTAGGGCTTCTATCTGACTATAGTAGGAATTATGTACTTTTGTGGTTTGGGAAAGCATCCCCCCCATAACGGTACCTAGGACCCTTTCGGAGGCATTTCAGGGCCTTGGAGCTTTGGTCCGTGGAGACTCGAAACATCAACTTACACATCGCACACCCGATCCGATGTCTAACTGCTTGGTCCAGGGTTTAGGATTATAGGGTCGGTGTTTCTAGAGTTGTCAAGTTGTGGGGCTTCAAGGTTTAGCTTTAGGGCTTTAGGATTAAAAAGGTATCTTAGGCCCCCCAACTACCCTCCAAAAAGACCCTCAGTACCCACCATTACCCTTAGCATCGAAGGACTCATATTTGAGGGCTTTTGGGCCCAAAGACCCTATTATATAAGGCTTTTGGGCTATTTTGATGCGAAGGGTTAGGGACCATAAGGGCTCTATTGCAAGGCCCTGAGAGGCTCCTCCGGGATAAGGATTTGGGTTTTTAGGGTTTAGGGATTAGCCTAAACCCTAAATCCTAAACCCTGAACCCTAAACCCAAAGCTGTTCAGGGTTTAGGGTTTAGGGTTGCGAACTTAACGGTGTAGAGTTTAGGGAGCTGGGCTGAAACGGCCTGGCCCAAAGAGATGCAAAGCCGGAAACCCCGGGCTGATCACAGAAATGGTACGGTAGTAATTAATAGTAAAATAACTAAGTAGTACTGTAATGACCGGGTGGCAGTAACAACCGCAATGGTATGTAATAGTAGAATGAGAGACTCCACGTTAGGCTTAGGAGGCTTAGTGTTTTGACATAGCTTCTCATTCCCCCGAGGGTCCATATATACTACGATTATGGAACTAAGCAATATAAACAATGGTCTGTTGGGACAATGGTAGTGCAAAACCCTAAACCCAAAACCCCTAAACCCCTAAACATGCCTAAACCCTAAGCCTAAACCCCACACGCTTTGAAACCCTAAACCCCTCAACCCCACAGGCTCTTAAACCCTAAACCCCTAAACCCTAAACCCCTAAACCCCAACCCCTAAACCCCACAGGCACCCTCTGGGTTCCCTCGTTGAGGCACCGGCCCATCAATGCTGGAAGCGTGGTTCGTTTGAGCTCCAGCGCTCACCTGCTGCTTCGGTGATTTCAAGCTCGAGGCTTCAAGGGTGTAGGGGTTAGGGTATAGGGTATAGGGGTTCAGGGGTTTAGGGGTTTAGGGTGTAAGGGCTTTTTGGGGCAGCAGAATTTCCTTTTAGGGATTTAGGCTGATTTAGGGTTTAGAGTTGAATTAGGGGTTTGGGGTTTAGGGAATCAGCACTTCTGAACGCTGAGACAGGGTTTGGGGACTTAGGGCACTATCGCCTTCGTTTGGCCCGATGTTTCTTGGTTGCGGAACGTCTGCTAGTTCAAGGTATGGAGGGTTGGGTTTAGGCTTGCGGTTTCAGGACGGAGCGGAAGGAAGGACTGGGTGTTCGCAGGGTCGAGTTCGGACTGGACTTTGTCAGCGAGATGCAGCGATGACTTAGCATCGAGCCTGCAACCAGCAAGCCCAACAACGACGGTTTAGGGTTTAGGGTTTATAGGTTTTAGGTTTTAGGCTTTAGGCTTTAGGGTTTAGGGTTTAGAAACTCCTACCTCACGCGACACGAAGAACCCCCAAACCGTAGACACCCTGTCGAAGAAGAGGTGCAGTGATGAAGGTCAAATCCGAAAACCCGAACTCGGGAACCCTAAACCCTTAACCCTTGACCCTAAATTCCCAACTCCTAAACCTTACTATTCAAAACTCATTATAATCAACCCCCAGACAAATAGTGCTGGGATGCCCTCTACATTACTCTCTTAAGGATAGCGGCTATTGGGTTTCCAACTCTTGGGCTTCTACTATAGCGCGAAGTCCTACAACCCAAATCACAGCACAGCCCTGACTGCCACAATCCCACCGAGTTCCCCGCCAACAGTCGTACGATCTCAGCCATCCCTGCCTGAACAAAGGCCGCAGCACTCCCGCTTCGAGATTCTGACTATCTTTTTCGTAGCGCTTGAGGGATTATCTACAGAAAACACGACCGACTAGTTCGCTTCCAGGATCAAAGGGGGTGGCAGAAAACCGAGAACACAGCGAATTAGAAGGCTGTAGTATACCCATAGTCTCCATTGTAGTTCCTTTTTGGGGCTACCGAAAAATTATAGAGTCCTTAATATACAACCGCTTAAACCTAAAAAGGAACTACAATGGAGACTAGATTGACTGGAGGTATGTTCTTTTCGCCGCTGTCTCTCCAAATGACCTGCGCAGTGTCATAATGTTGTGGCACGGTGAGGAGCTCATCACACCGCTCAAAAGCAGACAAGGAAAGTCATTAGGGGTTAAGGTTTGGGTTCACACAGGGTTTAACAGGGTTTAGGGTTCAGGGTGTTGTTAAAATTATTATGAGTACAATCATGGTAATTCCTATCCCGAAGTAGCTGACAAGTGATCACAAGTGGAACTCACCAGGTCGCCAAGTGTCTCGCTTCGAGACAGGTCTCATGACTGATTGCACAAAACTCAGCTTGACATCCCATGCGTATTTACATGGAGGCCTCTTTTACTTGCGGAAGATTACACTATAAGTATCTATGGGCTGTATGATAATATTGCTACTTACGAAGTCTTCTTTGCACTCCAGCTCCCCAAATGCTGAGGCCCTAAACCCCAAGGGCACGATCACACCCCGATGGCCCGACGGTTGATGATCTAAATCCTGCACTACCTTAAGGAAGCTAAACTATGGGAATTATGGCATATTCCTTCTCATTGTGCAATGCTAGGATTTGAGATCATCAACCGGAGGTAAGGCCAGACCCTTGAGCAGCCCCAAATCTCCTCAAACAAACCCTACGTCCTAAACCCTTCTAGGCCCCAGAAGCATCCGCCCTAACGCACGAGTACGTGCACCCAAGCCCTCATGTAGCCCTAAACACCCAAAGGCCTGGCAAATTGAAGCCTTAAACGGCAACACCCTAGTCCCCAAATAAGTAAACCCTAACCCCTAAACCCTAAACCCTAACCCCTAACCCTAAACCCTAAACCATACCCCCTAAACCCTAAAAGGCCTCACAGGCCAGGGCAAGTGGCCAGATGCCCCACATGTCGGCAATCTCCTGCACTGCGAGGGATGGGTTATTTTGCGGTTTAAGGCTTAGGCTTTCAAGTTCAGGTGTTAGGGGTAATGTAGGGGCCTGAATAATTAGAATAGGGTTTTGCGGGGCTCCTTATTATAATTATAGTATAAGATACCCCCAAACCCTATTCTAAATATTAAGGCCCCTATATTAAGGTCAATACCAAGAAAAGCGGCAGCAATTGCAAATTCGAGATCGCACACTGCTGCATGCCCACAAGTGAGATCAATCTATAGCAAATGCAGATGTCTCGCTTCTTGGAATGTGTTCACGTTTCCAGGACTTGCCAGTGTCAGATGGAACGGCTTGTGGTTTTGCCTCGTCTTAAACCCATAGGCTCCATTGTAGTTCCTTTTTGTGGTTTATAGTTAGAACCCTATAAGGTAGTCCCAAAAAAAACTACAATGGAGCCTATGGGAAACTATGTTGTTGACGGACTTTCTCTTGGAGCTCGCCTGCCACAGTCGAAACAGGACTACATATATCAGGCACCCTAAACCCTACAGTAGAAGCCCAAAAGCTGGAAACCCAACAGCCTCAAGCCTCATAAGAGTACTGTATAGCGCATCCGGTTTCCAACTTTTTGGGGGGTTCACTATAAACCCTAAACCTTCAACCCCGAAGGACTCAGGGGGCTTGCATTTGTGACTTAGCTGTGTTCATCCTCCAGAGGGTCTGGATGTTGAAGTTGTGTGCAGCAACAACTCAACAAACATGGCCACAGACAGCACACTTTCACCAACTTGCACTGTTCGTGGCCCGAGCACTCTAGGGCCTTCTAACATCCCTACCCATGGGCCCCTAAGTAGTTCCTGTTTATGGTTTTTATTTAGAATCCTGTAAGGTAATCCCAAAAAGGACCTACTTAGGGGCCTATGGGTAGACCACCAA